AAAAATAACTCGAGACGAATTACCTATGGAATAGGGTGTGTATGGAGGATGCCTTCTCTGTCCCCTTTATCCTCTCTTGATACACAATCATTACACGATGTTGGAGATGCTCAGAATCAGTGACGTAATTCAACATAGTGGTCATTTTACTGAAAATTCATGGTGTTGAAAACTACTTACTCAAAAAGGCAGTTGGTTTAGATTGGCAAAACAACTTTGCACGTGATATCACGCTTTTTTGTACATTTCTTTGCCGTCACTGCACGACTACGACGTGAAAATGCCTAATTTCACGTTTTGTGCAGAACGTGAACACAAGACAACTACTTTGTTTTTCTTTTCCTTAACTCCGTTACAGTCCTTTAGAATTCACCTCCAGAAAAATTGCCAACATTTGACGAATTGAACGAGATAGAATAAGGGCCATTAAGTTTGAAGCAGCCCTATATCACCTTTTAACGTCGCCGTCGTTGTTGCTTAATTAACAATTAATGAATGAGGCTGAGTATCTTATGGAGAATTATGGAGCTCGAGGAGGGCGTTAGAGGCGGATAACACCCTCCGAGATCTCCATAATTCTTTATATGATACGAAAGCCGAATTCAATAATTGTATTATTATTCATTCAAAATAATTCGTAGTTTAAAAACATGGCTAAAACATGCTTACCTCCATCGATCCATCGATGTTAAGTTCATTTTCCATAGTACACGTTTAGGGTTATTCAGCTCAGCAAATATTCTCCAAATAGCGGATGTCGCCCTTCAAGTTGTCTTCTTGATGTTCTTGCCATGTTTTTAGCTATTATTTCGCCTAGTTCTTACTCTTGAAATGAGTGAAATGTCCGCTGTTTTTGTTTTCACAACCAAAACATCTCAACCTCGTCTCCAGGTCTTCTCGGTTTACGGTACATTAACCTGCAAGCTGCACTTTTGACGTCATCGGTTCATCAAACGCAAAATCTTCCAAATTTGGTCATCAGTAACCGGTTATGGTCAATTATGCGTGTGCTTTAGCCAATTAGAATGAGGGAAATATTTTTATCTAACAGGGCTGTCGAGGGATTGGATATGGTACACAAACGTTTTATGATCAATAACGGAATACGATAACTATTTCTTGCATGCATGTAGTCAGTCTGCAGACTTTACTACGTTTCTTTCAGTTGTCGATACTTCGATTAAGGGACATGTTTGGGAATTTGACAATTTTGGCAATAGGCCTTTTGCATTGGTTGATCACGAGATCAACTTTCTGTAAACACAACAAAAGTTCGCTTTTAAAAACCTTTGTTAGCAGGAACTGAAAGAGCATATTAAAATTAGGTAACCTGTACATTTTCAGCCGTATATTTCAAAAGTATTGATTGCAACGGCCGTCGAAAACTAGGAGGATTCGTGTAGGAAAAACAACCATTTCTTGTTAACCTGCAGTCAAGCTTAACTGGTTTTCCAAACAGACCCTTGTAAATTTGGAAATCTTCAAACTGTCATAAGTATTTCCTTAAGCATTATGGGGCTCAAATCTCTTTTTTATTTATAACAGGCAATTTGAGCCCTTAGATGAGTAAGGGAAAGATTAAACGACAGTTGAATTTACAAGGATTTGTACATAATACCACTCAAGCGTGACTGGCAGGATTTGTTTTTCTCAGACATATCCTTCCAATTTTCGGCGGCTTTTGCAGTCGCTCCTTTTGAGATATACGGCTGAAAATTTACAGGGCCTAGTTGTTTAAAGCTGGGTTAGTGCGAGATTTGAATTCAGATTTGAAAGCTTAAAAAGCAGTTCAGTCTTAATTCTTTTGGTCTACAAGTTAATGATTGGAAGCTCTAAAAATATCGGAGAAATTATCTCAGAAAATGCTTTTGAACACAAAAAAAAAGAAACCCGGGTTAAATTTAACTCCGGGTTAAGCGCTAATCGGCCTTCGAACAACCGGGCCCAGATTACTAAATTTTAACATGCTCTTTCAGTTCCTGCTAACAAAATTTTCCGAAAGCGAACTGTTTTCATGTTTACAGAAAGTAGGTCAAGTGACTATAAATAAACTATTGCAAAGGGCCTATTGTTTTTGTTTTATTCATTTACCTATTTTTGGTCTACCAATGACTTTATTATTGCTCTTTTTCGTAGAATGAATTCCAGCAATCAAACAACAACACCTATAAATGTCGCGACATTGGCCCCTTCGCACTCAATGGGAACCAAATTTGGATTCACCCTCGCGTACGCAACGATCTTTTTGATCGCGCTCTTCGGCAATTCTATTGGGCTGTATGTGGTGAGCGCAAAAGCACCTTCGAAACGAATTACTTATCTGCTGATCAAGAACTTGGCAGTTGCTGACCTAATTCTAACCCTGATAGTGATGCCAAACGCTGTTTGGATCATGTATTTCGATGATAACCGCTGGTTCGGTGGAACAATGGGAACTATCACGTGTAAAATTGTATTCTATGCCATCACTGTTTCTATCGCTGCTTCCGTGATAACATTGACTATTATCTCCATCGATCGCTTCTTTGCTATCTTTTTCCCTCTAAAGCTAACTTTGTTCCACAAACATAAAACCATCACAATGGTTATATGGTTCGTCTCATTACTCGCTGCTACGCCATACTTATTGTTGTTCAAAGTTAAGAAGCGTGGAGACTATTATATTTGCTTCCCCGAATGGCCATGGTCTGAGGATCTCAAGGAAACATATCTCGTCATGAGAGCTTTTCACATTTTTGCCTTTATTGCCTTTTATGCACTTCCACTGTTAATAACAGCTGTAGTCAACTGCCTCATTGCACGTAGAGTCTGGTTTCACAAGTATCCAGGCAATGCCACCAGTTTCAACAAAACCTTGACGGGAGCAGCGAGGCGAAAAGTCGTCAGAATGTTAACTATCATCGTTGTCGGTTTCGCCCTATGCTGGCTACCTACCTACCTAAATCACTACTTCATGTATTTTCAACCAGCTGTTTGGGATAAGACTGACATCGCGATCTGGAATTTCAATTTTTGGCTGGCGCACGCAAACAGTGCGATAAATCCTCTCTTTTACATCGCTTTAAACAGAAGCTTTCGCAACGCATTTCTGGATACTACGGCTGGGCTATTCGCATGTCCTATTCGTGTTGCAAATCATTGCATGGCCTGGTTTGCAGAGGAATCATCAGCATCGTACCTTTCCCAAGAAACGGAGCATGTTGCACGACACAGACAGTGGAATGGTTTCCGCTCTTCAGGTAGTAGGTCAGTTGGTCGAAACGGCACTGGAAGAACCCATGAAACCAAGCTGTAATCCTTTAGGGCAATAATAACTATAATCTCCGTCTAGGTTATATCTTAGTTTTAGATACCTTGAAGTCAGAAATACAATATCGTGAGCATATTGGACTCTTTAGAAATTTTAATCACAAGGATGATTGCAGGCTGAATTGGACGACACGAAGACCTGTTACCAATTAATCATAGCCAATGTATAAAATATCCCGAATTAGGAAAATATCACTGGCAGAGAGTGTGATGTTACAATTCGTCCATTTTGGAAAATCCCAGTTTGGTATAGTAAGTGGTTGTTGCTATGGTCACTGTGATAAAAATTCTGTGATTGGTGGATTTAGCTGAGTGCACTTGATATGACTGGCTGGTGTAACTGTTCAATCACAGGTGTCCGATTACAACCATACGCAATAATTAATGAAAAATAAAGCAGTAAATGCGTCAATCATATTTCAGGAAATGCAGTGGTTATGATTAGTGCGTTTTTAATGGTCTGTTTGAGCAAAAATGGCTAGTTCTTCGTTTACTGCCTTGTCAAAACATCGCAATGTTATCCAAAGGTAATTGCTTTATAACGGTAAAATTCAATCATCTCAGCTAGTTGAAGAGTCAGGGTGAATGTCTTCACTTTGCAGAGGTCACCGCTCAGTAAAGATCAAAAGGACAGTAAATATGTGAAACAATTTCTGAAAATTTTATTGGCGACCACTTTACAGAATTCTTCATAACTTTAAGATTTTACCAGGTACCGAAAAAAGCAATCGAGCCAATGAACTTAAACCAGTTTGTAGGAAAAATATTTATATTATCATAGAGCCTTTTTGCCCAATATGTACGTCATAAGTATAAGATGCACTCTTAGCAAATATTCTGGTTCAGAAAATAAACGCTTCAAAGTAAACGAAAAATTCATAAAACTGATATTCTATCTTTAAAGATTAAACTTATCACCACCTAATGTTGCAAAAGTTTCCCAAAACTTCCATGAGACAGAAATATCAAAAGAAAATCTTCCCTTGGGAATATATAAGGTTGCCATACAACAAGAAGGTAAAAAGTAAGGTTTTAAGTTAACAGGTATGCTTTGCAAAATTTCCTATATCAAGAGAACATGTCCTGAACGAGTTATTGCCTAAACATTGGTAAACGTTATTTGTGGCATTAGTGTATCAATGTTATTAATTGAAACTGCTTTAATTGGTGCTAATTAAAAAAGAAAAATAGAAATTAAATAGACGGCCAAAATTAAAATGTTGAGTTGAATTTGTTGTTTTGTAGTTATGCTCATTTCTCTTGTACTTCTCTGAATTTTATTACCAGCGGATTACTTTTATTTTAGCTGATTCCTGAACATTCTTACTTACTTACACAAACTGTAATGCAATATCACGGTCCATTTGCTTATTAAGTTAATTTACGGGAAGTTTACGTAATGGAGTTAACTGTATATTAAATGAGTTGCTTCCCATGCGGGCTCTACAACAAACAAACAGCTGCAATAGACAGATACAATAAGTCAGATAATTGAAATGACACGGCGTCAAAGCATAGGGGATTCTTGAAAACTCTCAGAGTCTTAAAATAATTGAGAAATGATAATGTCTCGTGTCTTGCCATTAGGGGACGTAAACATGGTGCCCTCAATTCGTGCTAAAGAAACCCAAACACTGATTGCAGAAGTGTTTCTACTTTTCCCTCGAAATCAGTCTGCAGGAAATTTTCTTCTGAAATCACCCATACCCACCCCAAATCACCCCGCCCCCGCAAAAGTCAAATGGTCAGCTCCTTGAGCATGAACAGTGTGTTAACACAGCCGGTGTCCATTTCTGTTGTTAGTTTGGTATCATCTAACCACCAAGTAAGTTTTTGTTGCCTTTGAATGACGTGTGGGATACTCGACAAATCGGGCGCTAGTTCGATTGAAATAATCAGCCTTTATCATGTGTGGCATGTCCTTGCACGCGTAAAGGTTAATAAGGGGCGCTGTCGTTAGGAAAGTTGTTTCTAGGACTTTTTAATCCAAAGGAACCTCACTGTAACTTACTTTTTTCCTTTTTTTTGTCATCTACTGGTGCTGGTTGTCACGACTCAGCAACATTCTGTGACATTCCGGCAATTTTTTTATGCAGAAGAAATTCACAATTGGCACGTTAAAATACACATTGATGATCATGCATAAATAGTATTGATAAAGATCAGTGCAGCGATGTTTTTTAGACTTGTGAACATGTATGGTTTCTATGGTTTGGCTTCCGACGCTGGTACGACTTTTACATAATACCATCAGCTAGCTATCTAGGTGGTAGCCTGTTTCAAGCGTTCACTGATAGTAGACCGAGGGCGAAAACTTGACGGTAGACTAGAGTGGTGTAAGGGGGACAAGTTTGTAAGGGGAGGCTCCCTCGCTCTCGCCCCAGTCTCCCCTCGTTTTCCCCTCGCTCCCACCATTTAAACATCGCGCTCTAATATCTGAACGCCTGAAACGGGCTATCTATCTGGAGTTATAATGTTTAGTGTTTGGCCAGGAGAAGTCACAGACACTCTTGGTCCGAGTGGTTTTAAATGCAAACATCGCGTTTTTGGAGGGCAAGTCGTGGTCGCGCAGTAACAGATCTTGAGTGAGGACCTGAAACAAAATATTGCCTGTGGGAGGACTAAAACTGAAGAAGATCCCCTTTCACAAAAAATGAAAAAAGTAAAATGAATAGAAATTGATAATTTTGATGTTGTTTGGTGGTCATGTCATACTTTAAAGCTAAGTAAAAAAAATTTACGTGTCTTTTGCCTGTCGGTGGTTGGCTTTCAATTCTAGCCTCGAGGGATTTGACACTGTGAGAAAATTGTTTCTCTCAGAAATTAAACTCGCATATATTAAGGTTGTTTTACCTCTGGTGGGCGTGTTTCCTTTTTGTTTCTGACTACTATACCTTTCAATAAAATTTGTTAAATTCCGCCAATTGACGATCGACGCTCAAGTCACTGTGAGAATCTGTGGAACCTCAGAAAGAACGCTTTTACATACGTAAGAGTAGCCCGCATCACTAAAACATACTTTTGCACTTATTTTAACTAAAACTACTGAAGAACCAGCTTTCGCCTGGAAGGGTTAACTTTATCTTCAACGCTAAGACTTTAAAAGGTATAGGCAATTATCAATTATAACTGTAGCATAGAAGTCGTAATTTACCTAGGTTGCAGGTAAGGTCGCATGTATTATGCCCTCTTAAATCCTGGGGGCGTTAGGAAACTGTCGTTTACTTTGTTGACGTTAAAGTAACAAAGGGCAAGTTGTGTTTCCAAAATATCTTAGCAAATGTTGCACAATCGAAACGCGACAAGACACTAGACACTTGAACACGGAAGAAAACCAGCTAAACGCGATTCAACAACGTGTAAACAGGAGAGATATATTGGTGAACATGAAGACGATTCATGACGAAAACAGACCTCTCTTCAAAAGAACAAACATGATATTCTTGTTTTGTTTCTTTGCTCTCTTTTTTTCGCACTTAAAGGTGAAAAAAACTTTTGCAATTTTGAAATTTGTGAAACTGTTTCAAAATATGCCTTGTATGAAAATACGTTTCCTTCCCTACATCAAAGGTGAACTTTGTCGATCTTGTTTTATTTTTCGTAATTAAACCGCTGCTACTAATTCTACTAAGTTATTCATTACCCTAACACCACTACACCATACTTGATCTGTGAGACAAATCTACATGCATAGAGAGCTAAATTCGAGCAATTAATTTAACTAGCAGTTGGCCCTAGTAAAAACTAATTTTTCTTCAAAGATGCCGTAAGGTTATGGCATAGCATTTGAGTGTGTGACGGGTATGACCTCAGAGTATTTAGCAGTAGTGGGAGGTAGTGAGTATTTTCGGGTATTTAGAGGTAGTGCTAGCGGCCGCCAGAAGCTAGAAGCAACTGAATATTCCTTTAATTATTTAAAACTGAAACAGGGCAGATATCCTTTTCTTATAGAATTATTAATATATGTATACCATCTGAAAATCTTTTAATACGGTTTAAAGCGCAATTTAATAAAGGAAGTGCAGTTTAAAAGAGTTTCTACGATAAGCCTCTCTGCAGTCACCTCTGCCACCAGTTTTTCGTATACTTTGACTTTTTTTATTTAGACATATTTATTTGCTTAGTTATATTATGTAAATACTCGCTTTTTTGTGAATCAGTGGTATTTTTTATGTGAATAATTTACATTACTGAAAATTGTCACTGAAAAACCCCTATGGGCGGATGTCAATAAATTATTGTATTGTATTGTATTTTCCGAAGTTGAGGAAATTAAATTATTATTTTACAGCAAAAGTTGCTCACCAGTGAAACCCAAGTGTACCGAGGAAACCTTACCCCGTGCGATAAGTCGAAGTAAGGAAACGAGATAACACTTATTACCAAAAGGCTACAACTATTAAATTATTATCGATATCTGCTAAGTTAGGCCACGCCCAATGCCGTTTTACGTTTATCTAATCCTAAGATTTTCATTCATGCTTTATTGGTATTATTTTTAGTTTTGTAGACATGGCTTCTGAGAGGCTGATTGCGTTTTTTGCTTTGGGGATTCTGATGACTTTTTTGGCGCAGACCAAATCTGTGGAGGCTACTCGACGAGTGGTGATCCCTGTAGGTCCCCGCATTGTACAGTGCATGAAGAAGGTAGATGAATTGAAAAAGCAAATCGCCTCTTTGGAGAAGTCCAAACGTAAGAAGCAATTGATTTTACTAAAATTGTTTTCTTTAGCTAAATATACTTGGAACTAAAGTAGTATATTTGTGTTTGTTCTTAAATGTCCAACACAATTTGTTATATACGTACTAGGGTTGTGAGACAGGGCCTTAATGGGAGTATCGTCCTTATTCAGGGGAAGACTAAAAAGTCTGTCATTAAAAACGCAGCACTTTCTCCTCAGTTATTTAAAGCCCTGAGTGTTGGACCAGCTCAGGTTTTAACCAGCGACTTCGCGCTTGGTAGACCTTTGATTATCCCATTCAGTTGACCAGGCGATGGTTTTTATTTTGTTAAGGGAATTTTTATTCTCACCAACGAAAAATTGAGAGAAAGCCAGTGAAGCCCAAGAAGCACTAACATAACTGCAAGTGCGAAAAAGAAATGAGAAAAATCCCACTTATTTTAAATTCTTAGTCATTTGAAGAGGGTTTGTCGCATTTACTTTCGATTTATTTCACACTATACCGTTCAAAAGTCTTGTAGACCATTTAACTTTTGTGAGCTTATTAATGAAGCTTTTGAATAAATGCGATCTGACTTGCTTGACTACAAATTTACATGCTTTTTGTTTTAGAAATTATGTTTGGGAAAACTCAGCATAAGAACAATACGGTCTACGTAGAGGGACTGGGTGTTTCAAAACAAGGTAAACCCCAGCCTTGCTTCCACGCGTATTATCTCCCTGTTAGCTTGGGCTGCCTGTGGAGAACCTAATTTTCAGTGTGGTATAATTCTTTTATAGAGGAAGGTTTCCTTTTTGCAAGTTCTACAGTAACTAACTACGTTGATGCTGGAAACTTAAGTGAACCGTTGGATGCATTAACTTCTTGTGTGTGGATCAAATTTGAAGACTCGTCTCGAGATATGGAGTGTGTCTTCAGCATTCCATCTCAAACTGAGGAATTAGAGTTTGTACTGTTACGGGCTTATGGCAACCTCGTGTTAGCTACCAAAGGTCGACTTGGGTAATGGAAAACGTTTATTGTCATTATCATCATCATCATCATCACCTTTATCATAATTATTTTATTTATTAATTTATTTATCTATTTTTTTTTGTGATCTTTTCATTTTAGTGCTGTCCTAGTTTACTATCGTAGCAAATGTTACCCGATATAAGGGCACTTCATACCCTTTATCCTCTGCTCAGCTCAACAATCAAACCCAACAATTCTGCTTTTGTTGTCGTTGTTTTGGTTTTTATTTTGTTTTCAATCTGACATAGTCGTCGCAATTTGTAATAAAATTGTCGCATTCTCCTACAACAGGGCAACAGGGTAATAGTCTTTAGGCATGTACGCATATATCTTATTAATCAGCCTGCTCCTAGTGGATACACTGCATTTTTCCTTTCAAGACATTCCGAATGGAAATACTGCGTGCATTAGAACGATTGCGTGTCACGGAATCGGGATTCTGGAATCCGAGAAAATTTTGCTGGGGGAATCAGGATTTCTGGGCTTTGGAATAGGGAATACAGCTCAAGAACTCCGGCAGAATCCCACTAACTATTGAAATCAAGAATCTATAAGTTCCGCTGACAAAGACTAGAATCCATCATTGACATGACTTCCAAAGAGCTATAGATTTAGACATTTACGGTTAGTTCCTTCAGACAAATAACCCACCACCTTAGTTTGAATTTGCCCGTCTTACTATTACTGTCTTTGAACTGTTTATTATTTCAAAAGGCAATACAACGTCATTCAGTTTAACAAATGGAGCCATTTCTGCGTTACAAGGGAATCTGGAACATGGAGAGTGTACATAAATGGAACACTAAAGGACACTTTCAAAAAACCAGGTGACTTGTTTCGCTTGTGAATAATCGTATCATTAAGCATCTGTGCGTTCGAAGATGGACTGATTTAACTGTTGGATTCTGAACCGGGGGACTCCGAATGCCTTCTTTCCAAATTCCCCAGCTTCGAAAATTGTACATGAATGGAAGGGTCATCTAGAAATTTTTAGCCGTCCTCAAGTAATAGAAAATTCTAAGCGACATCTACTTCTCCGAAGAGATATTTTACAGAAAACAGTCGTTGGGTGCCCCTGATCATGAAGAATGCTCCCCTTTATGATCAATATTGTTCCTCATTCACACCGAAGCTTTTAAAAAATCGATCAGGAAGTTATTTAATTAAAAAAAAACGTCCTCGCATTGAACATTTTGAAGTGTCTTCTCGCAAATTGAATAGAGGCGCAATTAAACATTAATCCTTTTCTTTTTGCAGGAGTAATCGTCGGAGGAGAAAAATGGGTATACGGGCAATGTTACTTTACATTGGGCGAAAGTTTTCAGTCCGGTGGTGCGTTCATCGGGGAAATGGCAGGTATCAATGTCTGGGATCGCGTGCTGAGTAGCCAAGAGATCTCCGAGATTTCACGGTCGTGTGCTGCCAAGAAGGGCAACATTATTACTATGGCTGACTTAAACGTGATGGGAGGATTGCGGAAAATTTTTTTCTCTTGTTAATCTGTGTAATCTGGCTATCATTTTGGTTGGAAACATTTTTGGGGGTAATTTAGACTGTTATAATCGAGGTACTTTAGTTTTTTGGCTCCAAACCATGCATGTAAAAGAGCTTTAATAAAGTCACATCATGTGTATTACCCTATAGAGCGATATTAACGAGAGTCTGGGGAGAGGAAAAGGGAGCCGTCCCTTTCCACTCCCAATCCCCCGCTCGGTTTGCCTCTTTCTTCGTGATTGCCCCCTTGTTCGTCCTTTTCCCCCAAAAGCATCCTCGGAGACCCATCGACGGTCAGTCGGGTCGGGAAAAACGGCGGCAAAAGTTTTCGAGAACGGACAAGAGAACCCGTGTGATGCTATTGTTAAAAAAACAGTTCCAGGACTCATTCGAATGCTTGTCTCTGATCGGGCACAAAAAAATCAATCAGAGACAAGCATCTATTGTATGAACTTCGCAGAGACGATTATTTGTTGATCTACCAACATAAATAAAAATGAATCAAGGTCAAACATAGTTCCTGTGCCCTCTTTGGGAAAAAATAATAAAGTAAACTCCCTTCAACATAGCATTTTTAAGCGTCTTTCTTCAACCACGTTTTTTTTTTGCTATCTTGTCTCTGATGGATGAACTGAGGACCACTTCGATCCGGTAGACTCTATGAAGGCCTGAGGGAATACAAAATTTGTAAATAACAAACTGGTCCCGAAGGCAAACATTGCAAATCAAAAATATTTCTACAATCAACCAATTTGCCAGATATTTCGGTTTGCAAAACAAACCTTCCTCGGGGGCTAAAATAAAAATAAAGAGAAGTGTAAGGGTCGTTATAAATCAAAGTTACAATTTTAAATAACTGAGGATCTCTGCTATTTTCTTGGTTTCGTCAATTTAGCCCTTTTACGACGGGAAATATTTTTTATGTATTTTTTTCTTTTTTTGTTTTGTTTTGTTTTTTTGTTTTGGCTTTTTTTCTCTTTCCTTCTTTCTTTTTCTTCTTTTTCTTTTTTTCCCTCCCGCTTCCCGCCCTTTAAACGAACTTCCAACTCCCGTTCTTTCCCCTCCTTCTACCGGAAAACCTCCTACCCCTATTCTCTGGGGATTCCACCCCCATCTTCAAGTGGGTTGCGAAAAAAATTATCTTACTTAGCCGCAAGATCACAGTTTTCATGGCATTTCTGTGATTTTAACACATTAGCACTATCCGAGTTGGCACCGATGTTGAATGACTTTGAAAATAGGCCATTTCCAAGTTCTAAAAATTCGACTTTCAAAACGAGGCCAAGTACAAAACCTTTCCTGTAAAAATGAGTTTTGTTTGCATGAGAATAAAAAACGGTTTCCTATCAATGACTCCACACTTAGCCTCCCTTTGAAACAGAGGCTTATGGCAAATCGGAAATGGTCTATTAAAAGGAAAAAAAAACGCGTCATCATGTGACATGGGAGAAGGAGTGCGTCAAGTACAAGTTTCAACTGTGGCTGCCATTTGATTGGTCACAACGCAATTTACTGTGTTTTCATTTGCCCCTGTCAATTTTATGTTTATTGGTTCGCGTATCAATCTCTCTCAAAAACCAAGTGATCAATAGTTTTAATGAAAATCTTTCAAAACCAAAAGTCAAAACATAATTGGTAGTGAACTTTTCACTCATTGGACAGTGCAATTCCGACATTTTCTTATCGGTAAATTCTGGCAAGAGATATTAAACCAACGGTGAAGCACTGCATTGACTTAAAATCAGTTTTGAAAAGTAGTCAAGCCTGCTACTCCCACACTGCTGCGGAAAGTTTCGAAAAATTGAAAATCAAAAATACTTTTCTCTTGCAGCGAAATTTTCCGTGTGCAAACGTGTGTTTCATTCGCTCCACTTTCCTTGTGAAAAATAGAAATATAGATACTGTCATATGTTAACCAAAACGTTTGTGGCGTTTTTTAACGAATTTGCCTCAACCATGCCTTGAGGAAAACTAGGCAAAAAGCTTTTGAGCAACGCTATATTAAAATAACGTACAACCTTTTCATAACTACACGTCGGCGCCTTTTCTCTTTTGCTGTTTAGGCCGTTTAAAGAAGCGTCTTTTCAAAGAAAGATTTCCTTTTCTTTTTATTTTAAGTTTTTCTTTGTGCTTTATTGTTTAAAAATTAAAAGTGCATGCCGCCTGTATGTAACATCCGATTTTGTCTGTCATCGTGACATATTTTCCACTAGGGTTTAATAGTCATACATGAGTACGTGTCAAACTTAATGTAAAGTATACATTCTTTGCACGCAACGGGCCTGAAATAATTTGTATGAATTACTAAACGATGTGATAACTGCGAATATATTCAACTGAGAGACAGCCCTCAAGGTGCATCGAATCTGTAGAATCAAGTCAAGAGTTCACATTGCTGATTGGTAAGAGTACCCGACATTATTAAGTCTCGCTGTCCATTTAATATTTGCTAATTAGTCAAGTGTCACGAGGAGAGACTGTAGCAATCAGCAGCACCGGAAATTGTTTTTCAACTTTAATATACTGATCAGTTTTCAGCAAGAGATGTCCTGAGTTCAGTTGCCGGTGCAAAGTCTTAAGCCAACATCATATAACTTTCAAGTCATTATAGCGCGTCAAAAAGGGAGCTATTTGTGAAAATAGTATTTAAGGTAAGTATTTATCGATATTTATTGAAAAGCTCAGTTGTTTACAAGAACTGATTGTTTCCAAGACTTCTCTATGCCTATTGTTCCATGGAGATTTATTATAGTGTCCGAAATTGAATACGAGAACGAGTTTTCAAACTGATTTCATGCATGTAAACGCTTGTAAGAGCAATGCCTCTTACGATGGTCTCTCGATGTTCTTGGAAGTATTAAGTAGAACGTAGTTACAATATTAAGGGAAATAACAGGCTCAAAATAGCGACGCCGTACTCGATACGATCTCGGTACTCGCTGTTTACCCAAACGGTCGTTCTAGTACTGTCTCACTTTTATTAGTGTATTCAAATATTTGTAGGTAAAACTTGTACAACTGGAAGACAGCTATAATTAGGAAGGTATGCAGTCAGGTTAACCTATATGAACTAAGGATGATTGAAGCCTTTTTACATAAAATAGCAAGCAACTTCTCTCAAGGAATATAGCCGTATTTTGCAACGGGAATTAATAGCGAAAAGTAATAATGTTTTTGTCACCTTGTTTTGACACTTTTGCTTTCATCTGCTCAGTTTAAAACTAATCTGGCAGTCAACCAGTCAACTAGGTTGACAATGTTCATAGCTTTGAAATGTAATCTGTATGGAAACACCATATTTAGCTTTTCAAGTACAATTTATAATACATTAAATGTAGAAAAAGTTGCTTGTGTCTAACCTCATCGGCAGACCGTGAGCCAGCTAAAAAAGTGCAACGACTCGATTGGAGCTCCAATTCTACGCTTCACTTCGTAGAGACCTATGATTGCCAAAAAGAATAATTTCTCTAACACCGAATAAATAAAGTAAGTAAAAGCTTTATTAATGTGTCAGTCTATTTAGTTTTCACAACT